AATGAAAATGGATTTGAAATGAAAATGAATTTGAAATAGAAATGAATTTGGAATAAAAATATCCGTAGCCATCTCGGCCACCATACTACAGTGTCATTGACACTTTCATTTATTTGAAAATTAACTAAAAAAACTTTTTAGTTTGCTGACGTAACGGTTACAGCCCTATAGACCGAAGGTCCGATAGACCGAAGGTTTATTCGAATACGCAGTGGTTACACGTCCGGAATCGGTCGCCTAGCCTCCAGGCTACGCATCCGGACATCCACTGATGCCGTATTCGAACGTGAATATGCCGCACATCCACCGATGCCACTATAAATCATATGATGCTACTATAAACCATATATATGCCCTAACCCTAACCCTAACCCTAACCCTAACTCTAACCCTAACTCTTTGCAATGTTCGGTCTATCGGACCTTCGGTCTTCGGGCTGACCCCGACGTAACAGCCTAGGCCTAATCCTGAAATCCTTTGTTTCTTGTACTGGGAAACATAGGTACCGGGACCCATAATTACCTGGGTACTGGGATACATAGGTACCGGGACACGTAGGTACTGGGACACATAGGTATGGACCCGTTCACAAGCATTGACAAGCAAAAATTCCCAGATGGCACACAGGCTGACTAAAATTTGTCTAGTAGAAACAAATAATTACAACCTTAAAAATGATCAAGTTGGGGAGTGGCTCATTGACTATTAGGGATGGGTGTTGCTATCCCCCGGGCGTGGAGGGAGGTCACGTGATAACGTTGACGATGACGTTCAAAACGTTAACCTTAACGGTAAACCTCACTCCAACACCGCCAACACTAACCCTCACAATAAATATATATGTATCGCCGCGCTATATATACTAGGCATTGTGATCCACAAAAATTAATCTATGGTGTGGGGACAGATATGATGCAAAAGCCTTAACCCTAACCCTAATCCTAACCCTAACCCTAACCCTAACCCTATCCCTAATCCTAACCCTAACCCTAACCCTAACCCTAACTCTGACCCTAACCCTAATCCTAACACTATCCCAACACTAGTGCTGCCACGTTGCGGTCACCTCTCTCCACGCCCGGGGAATAGCATTACCCATTAGGGATGCCAACTTTACAGAAATTAATTAATACGAATCATTGAATCAGTATTATCTCTGTTTGCACAGGTAGCCAAACAGGGGAAGGATAAAGCAGTAGCAACGCGGCACTGGGAAATAGCCTTGTTGAGAGTGATTTGCTAACAGTTAAGCATTACATCCAAATTATTTGGTTGTGATGTCATGCCAAATCATGTGTGTCACATGATGCTGCTGCAGTGTAAGCAATTAGCCGGCAAGCTTTGTCAGAGGTTGTTCTAGAAGTTGTCGCGAGATATTTTGAAATAAATTTTTGCACTGCTGGGATTGCTTGTGCTTGCCGAAAACTGGGTTGACAGTGTGGCCTGGCAACTGGTTCGTGGCAGGTCGACGCAGAGTCGATTGTGGAACTTGCCTATCCAAAATGGATTTACTTGGAACGTAAAAGATTCACGCCATGAGAAGATCTTGGAATCCGAGACTGCTGTGGGGCGCATTCGCTTGTCTTGTTTTGATCTCGATCGTGGCTTTCATGTGGCACCGCCACGGCGTGCCTCATCAGAAGTGGGAGCGCATCTCAAAGGAGGAGCTGCGGCGGTTCTCCGACCTGCCGCCGGCGTCGGATGTCATCGATGCCCTGCGTGACGTCGCCGCGACGGGCCGCCTGCCCGTGCTCACCATCGTCAACGCCGCGTTCCTGCCATTCACCCACTCGTGGCTGTGCAACACCGAGCGCATGGGCGTGCACGCGCAGCTCGTCGTCGTGACGACCGACGAGCGGTCGCGAGCAGTGCTTGCGCGCCGGTGGCCGGCCGTGCGCGTGCGGCAGCTCACGATGGAGAGCGAGCTCAACGCCGGCTACGAGTGGTACAGCTCGGGCTACTGGCTCATCACGTACGCGCGCGTGAAGCTCTTTGAGCAGCTGCTCGCGCGCGGCGTCTCGTTCCTGCACGTCGAGGTCGACAGCGTGTGGATGCGTGACGGCGTCGGCGCCGTGCGCGCGCACCGCGACCGCGACATTGTCACGGCGCGGCTCGGCAGCGTCATCGAGCACGACAACTACACGGCCGGATTCATGTTCGTGAACGCGACGCGCCGCGCCACCGCCGTCTGGCGCGACGTGCTAGCGACGATGGAGCGCGTGCCCGGCAGCCTCGAGCAGGATGTGCTCGACGGGCTGTGCAAGTCACGGCGCGCCGGCGTCCGCTGCGCGCACTTTGCGTATGCCGACATCGCGGACGGCGTCTACTACAAGCGCAGCGAGGAGGAGCGCGCGCGCGTCTCGCCCGACCCGTGCGTCATCAACAACAACTGGATCATCGGCATCCGGCCGAAGATTGAGCGCGCACGGCTCCACAAGCACTGGTTCCTGTTGGATGACGGCGAGGGAGATTTGGCGCAGTGTGACGCGGCGAACGTCGCGAGCGTCGTTAGAGACGAGCCGTGTTAACGACGTGGCTAATCACGTCGTGGCGTGGTCTTCGGTTGAGTAATTAATTGATAACTCATTAATTAGCAGCTACGTCGTGTTAGTAAAGGTGTTTCATTATTACTAGTCCATAAGAACTGGGAAGTAATCATCTGTCAAGTGTGTTCACTGTACAGAAGGACAACAATTGGTTTTGGTGTGGAGGTCAATTTCTCACGTACATGTAGATGTTTTGATCGTGATGGTAATAATGTTTCGGTGTGTGTTTTTACGTGGTATATGGTATTTATACGTTCTCTCACAGTAAGGAATCTCACAATGCTGCTGAATACTGTGCAATACTCACATTGGAAGCCTGCTTACTTTTTAAAAAAGATATTTATATGTAGATATAATGTTTTTTTTTAAGTTAACATGCCATGTATTTTCGATGGCATTTTTTGACATTGGCGAATTTAGTCTAAATAAAATTCTGATAATGATGAGAAACACAGTTGTGCAGGAGACTGAACAGAAATGATTTATACTAAAAATGGAATGCTTCAATTGAAAATGGAATGTGTTACCAGACACAGTAGTTACAGACTGTATTAGTGTACAGTGCAAGTTAGCTGACTATAAGAATTCCGCATCTGTTGTTGTTGTTCGTGGAGATTGCACCATGAAAGGTCAATGCAACTCTTAATAGGAAACATGATGTAATGAGAACAATGCCATACAGTTGTAATCGATTTAATCGAATTATAGAATGTATTAATTTGAATCGTTTAGATCGTTTATCGCCAAATGTCATAACTTTCCACGAGTCAGCATACACAGTATTACGATTATGACTGACGAACAGAAGAGTGCCCAGGAGCAGGAAAGATGATAGTCGGTTTGTGAAGATGCTTTATGAAGGCGGAATAAATTATTTGGAATTGTAATCTCCTACATTGACATTTAGAATTTTTATTGGTTGCGTGTGCTGTACTGTAATATCAGGTCCAGGTGCTACACAGTGGTATAAGATTCAATTACGTGTTGAACACCTAGAACGCATCACAACAATGGGTGGACCGGGCATTGCCAGGGTTCTTTCTTACACGCTAATTACCTGTTTGTGAAAGAATGATATACTTCTATACAGCAACGTTTTAGGTTAAAAATTAATCATTTATGCCACACCCAACTTATAATCGTATTGTTATAATCGTATTGTTATAATCGAGCAGGAATTTTTGAGGGAGATAGGAGAGTCATAGTACGTGTGTGCGACAATATGCATGCACAAGTGTGTGCGCACACACAAACACAGACATGCTAATGTGTTACGGGGCTCTACATATTTATATAATCAGGAGTTAATAAAGACAAAATAAGTTAACTTGTCGTTGTCTTTATTAACTTGACGTTGTCTTGACGTTGTCTTGACGTACAACTTGACGTTGTCTTGACGTTGTCTTGACGTACAACTTGACGTTGTCTTTATTAACTCCTGATATAATGCATATCTGTAGATGCTTAATTTCTATATCTCCTTTGAGGGGTGTTGTAACGAGTTGGTCTACCAATGGTCTTGTCTTGTAAGAGCAGACAGATATTTTTCGTCATATCATCACGAACTCGAAAAAAGCGAATCAGATATCCTTCACAGTTTGCTTATTTTTTTTTTCAGGTCAGAAAATTGCCTAACTTCCAATCGGCTACTCACAAAACTAAGAGTCTCCACTGAATGCCCAATACCAGACAAGACCACTGGTTAGCACGTCAGACGAGGCAGAATGTCAGAAGGAGATAGGCCGCCACCGTACAGTCCGTATGATCCGCGCGTTGAGCATGACAACCTCCAACAGAACCTTCAGCAGGGAAGCTCGCGTAAGGCGTATGGCAGTACAGGCCAACAGCAGCAACAGCAGGAGCAGCAGCAGCAGCAGCAGCCACCACAATACACGTACACAGACTTTGGGTATCCCCAGGGTGAGTGTGATTATACGTCTTGTTTTGTCACAAGCACCTCCGCGGTCGCTGACCGATGAAAACTCATTTGTCGCGGCTCATCTTGTGCAGTGCCATTCATTAGTCATTGTTAGTCATTAGTCATTCTAAAGACGGTTTTTAGTTGTAGTGATGTAATTTTACAACCAACATTTTAAGTGATATCTATATATATATATATATATATGTAAATATCATCAATTTCAGTTTTATACTGTCTGATGATATCTTGTTTGCAAAATTTATTTTAATTGTAACGTTGTTAACACTAGTTTTGCAATAAACCTATTATCTATTTATCTATCTATATCTATCTCTTGTTACGCAATATGTCTTCTATCAGGCTCCTGAGTACAGTCAAACTGCGCACCCATTGCCCTATATATATCCCACTGTGCAAGACAAACATGCATATATGGATATATATCCTGGATATTGTTGTTAGGTCGGTCAAGCTAGACCTGCATGGTTACGCGTTAAATTTATATATGCCAATTTAACAACTTTGTGCCACTGCAATGCCAGGCATTGTGTTTTGGAACGTCTTGTCCATAAAGGCCAGTTTTGGCATTTCCCTTGAGTGGCAGATTTACATCCGTGTCTATAGAACAGTTGTTCGTAAAGGACATGTTTGGTGTTTCCCTTGATTCGCTGTTATATGCAGGTTTGACTGTATGTTGTACAGTTTATGCTACATATAATTCTTGTCTTTGAAGGCTACCAGGTGGTGGCGGGCAGCGTCGAGGAGTATCGGGAGGGGGTGCCACCGCCCGGCTACGTGCCACAGATGGCGTATCCACAGCAGCAGCCGAGCACTGTGATCGTACAGCCGAGCCACACGCAGGTCGTCTACGTCGGAGGATGTCCGGCATGCAGGGTGTGTGTGCGAACTCTTAAATGAAAACTACTTGTGCTTGTGTGCATGCGTGTGTGCGAGTGTGAGCGAGTGTGAGCCTTCACACTCGGTTAACGCTCGCACTATATGAGCTGAGAGCGTATCCGCGGCTCACTAAAGTTAAAAGGAAATGTATAAAAGTACATGTCAGGCGATAACTGTAATTACTTAAATATTTCGAATCATTTCTAATTTTCTGCGCAACATTTCACAAGCAGCCAATGATAGCCTTAGGTAATTATGTCATCTGCATCTGACATAATACATTTTGTAACAGAGATTGGGCTTCTCGGCTGTTTTTCAGATTGCAATAGCCTCTGTTGAACTAATCACATTAGGTGCTCAGTTCTATTCGGGTTTGCTTGCTAAATCTGAAAAGCGAACATTTGGCTGTCCTAAGCAAGGAACCTCAAAGCCAATTACAAGTCTGTGCAACATTAAACGTGTCAGTCGATTTTCGATGATTTTTGATTTTCCGTGAACATTGATCCAATGCCTGTCATTAATGCATGTAGGGCGGCTGTGCTAGTCACAGCGATATTGCCGCCGAATGCTCTGGTTGATCGTTTGTTGCTGCCAGTTTGTCTCGACATTTATGGACTGTCGCCATTACCAGATTAACAATAGTAGCAAAAGTAGCATATGCCAGGGCCCCCGCGGTTTTAGGGGCCCGGTTGTTTAGAGGCCCCGTAATATCATGAACTATCTAATAGTTAAATTTTGTTTAACAAATAATTATTTTAGTATACATGTAAACTTGATACAATAGTGAGTGCTGGCAAAGTTTATTTGTCAGTAAATCTATTACAAATGTATTAGACTTAGAGTATATAAGTTAAATTTGTGTTTTAATATTTATGTGGTTTGTTTTAAATTTAGGGACCCCCATAACATATGCTACAGGCCCTGCACTAGCTTAATCCGGCCCTGACTGTCGTGCGGCTGGTGGCTGAGATTGACGAGCCTGCGTCTCGTGTGTGCGACTGTTTCAGGTGGGCGTGCTGGAGGATGACTTCACGTGTCTCGGCATATGCTGTGCCGTGCTTCTCTTCCCACTCGGAATCATCTGCTGCCTCGCGATGCGGCAACGACGCTGCCCCAACTGCGGTGCCGTATTCGGATAACCTGGCATCACTCGCCACTCGCCATATCGTGGCCGACACTCGCTCTTCCTCGTATCCTCGAACCCCGTCCTCACTGCAGACGCATCGTGGGGGGGGGGTCCATTTCTAGCAGACACGCAGTGTTAGGTGTGTCCACCCCTAACAGACGTGCAGTGTTGGGTGTGTCCACCCCTAACAGACGTGCCGTGGTGGGTGTGTCCATCCCTAGCAGACACGCAGTGTTGGGTGTGTCCACCCCTAGCAGACACACAGTGTTAGGTGTGTCCACCCCTAGCAGACGCATCGTGGGGGGTGTGTCCATTCCTAGCAGACATGCAGTGTTGGGTGTGTCAGAGATGCCAACCACTACGATTTATCCGTTTTTTATACGAATTTCGATTCCTTTTGCACCACTACGACCAGTTTGTATCAAACTACGAATTTCACTGTGATCGAAAATTTTATTTTTTTTGTCAATTTATTGTCATTTTTGACCCTCAGAATGCAGGAAATTGCATCTCAGAATCAAACAATTTTCCGGGGGGCATGCGTGACCCTCGAACTACTAATTTGATGGCCAGAAACTACAGATTGCTTCAAATATGTGTTGGCATCTCTGGACTGTGTCCATTCCTAGCAGACGTGTCGTGGTGGGTGTGTCCATCCCTAACAGACGTGCCGTGGTGGGTGTGTCCACCCCTAGCAGACGTGCAGTGTTAGGTGTGTCTGCCCCTAGCAGACATTTTGTGTTGGGTGTGTCGTGGTGAGTGTACGTGCGCACTGCTAGCAGACCTTCTGCGATGGGTGTCCACCTCTAGCAGAGATGCTCACTGGCGCATTTGCTAGATATGTGCTTACCATACTGTCATAAGATATTGTCTTAGCTATTGGATGTTGTGTGAAGTGGTGCCGTTGCCATTATCTAAAAACATTGCATTTTAATCTAAAACCAGTGAATCTATTGTATCGGCACATACAGGCTACGTGTGTGCTCTGTTCAGCCAATAAGCAGCTCGTCAAACACAAAATTACATCTGCTTTATGTTACCTGGACTTGTCAGATCCTCTGATGTAGTCCGTAAGTCCATTACAGTCCCAATGAATCGAATTATATCGTAAACACTACGTAATTCCACAGTGAATGGTGAAATAAGGAGTAGATGAATTATGTACACTCTTCGTTTAACTAAACGTTGGCAGGCTTGATAACAGAAGACAAATCCTGACCACAGATGCACGGGTAGCCTCTATGATTGGCTGATGCTACAGATTCAGGCACTGTAGTCCTAAATATCAATCCGCTTCAGCTGGCTTTGAGGCACTTCTGTATATGTACTAGAGTAACTCTAGATTAAATTAAATATTTTTACAAACAAATTTATGTCTTAGCCATCGTACAATGCCTTGTTGTGTCACTGTGCGTTTTACATGAAAGCTAACTGCTGTATAAATGTAATACATACGATCAGTAGGTTAGGGTGGGAGGGGGGTGTTCACTGTTCACCCTCCCGCACGATGGAGATTTTGCAATTATTACACTAAAATGGAGCGACCTGAGGTGAAATTCTTGCAAATTTTCCAAAAAATTGTTTTGGCTTGGGGGGCTCGGGGGGGGGGGGGGGGGGGGGGGGGGGTTCGTTCGAACCCCCCGAACCCCCCCTGGCTACGGGCCTGCAAAATGGATATTGTATAAAGCTGCGCAAGTGTGAATTTATTGTGCTATGGTTATGTATATATGGAGGTCATGAAAGGTTATGCATAGTGATTTTTGTCTTTTAGTAGCACCCACTGTGGTTCACTTTTTAAAGCTGCATTTTATTTTATATTCGAATGTTAAGACATCACAGCACTTTATCGTAATCACTACCATCCCCACTAGCATCAGCAGCACCACTACCACCACCAGAAACAACAGCAGCAGTAGCAGCAACAGCAACAGTGGTGACAGCAGCTGCATTAGCAGCAGCAGCAACAGCGGCGACAGCAGCTGCAATAGCAGCAGCAGCAACAACAGCAGCAGCAACAGCAGCAGCAACAGTGGTGACAGCAGCTGCGATTAATAGCAGCAGCAGAAACAGCATCGTGGCTGATTGTGTAACAATTTTTCAGATTTTCCTTTTTTCCGGATAACTTTTCGGTCACCTATGTGCGTTAATGCTGTTGTAACATATTATTTGGTACTTCACCTCGTCAGTGATTATTACAAGTTTTTAATGTGGAATTTTGGATATTAGACGAGGTAAAGTCTGATAGGGCGTTCTCATTGTAATATAAATATAATGCTAACAGGTAGCAGCAATGTAGTTAGTTTGTAATACTCCTCCTGAATGCTCTAGATGTGTATACACGCACTTGAAACTTTCGCAACATAAAAGACTTTCGTCTTTTAGTGTTCATAATCATTTTTATCGTATTGTTGACCTGTATATTGTAGCGTACAGTCGAGATAAATCAGTTAATTTTTATTATACACGATTGTTATTGTTATTAAATAAAACTGAAATAAATCTCGCTATCAATTTCATATTAAACGTAAAATGCGCGCGTAGTATGTTTATCGCGCAGCTAACGCGATTCATCTTCAGTCGGCTCACTTATAGTATGTTGACACTATAGAGTGAGTATATAACAGAATAATAAGATATTACAGTGGTTGTTAACCTTTTTTGAGTCATGTACCCTTTTTAGAATCTGGTGAATGCTACGGACACCTCCCAAGAAAAATGCACCTCAGCATATAAACACAAAATTTTGCATGCGCCTTGCTCACGGACCCCCTGCCTGAATCCCATCCACGGAACCCAACGGGGTCCATGGACCACATGTTATGATGTTAAGAACCCCTGAGATATTAGAATAGGAGATGTAATAGAATAATATATAGATATTATATAGAATAAACAATATTAAATAGAATATATCAAAATGTAATAAAAAATGGATAAAAAATATGGAGAATAATAGAATGCACTAGAAAACTAGAAAAAATGAAATAACGAAGTAATGTAACAAGAAAAGAAGAAAAAGACTGGTATGACAATATATATCCCACTGGAGCCACAAGAGCTTATCGCGTAAGCTTTTTCGGTCGCCAGCAAAATTAGCAAACGTGTCGGATATTGTAGAGTCGCCGGTGATAATATCAGTTTATTTTATATGTCCACTTCTTATAACATTTAATCGGCCAGATATTGTTTAATCGGCAGTGGTAATATCATACAGGCCATATATTCTGCAGTCGTCAGTGATAATATCATTTACATGCCAGATATTGTGCAGTCGCCAGTGGTAGGCCTAATATCATACATGCCAGATATTGTTTAGTTATCGGTGTCATAATATCGTGGAATCGCCGGGGTTCGGTAGGGTATCTTCAGTGGAGCAGTCACACTAAATCACTCTTTCACAAACTGCGATCGGGGTCAATATCTCCCTTGGCGTCGCGTGGGGTGTTTCAGGGTGTTCGAGAGATGTTTGCGTTAAACCAACGTGTTGTTTCCGAAGACAGTGACAATTAATTAAAAAAAAACATTTTAGTGAAATCTTACTTTTAAGTTTGAGAGTATAATATAGCCACCATTCGGTTTAATAGTCACAAGCTGCCTAGTTGTGCCAAGTTTCCTCGTATACACAGTAGGAGATTTGCATTCGCACAAGCCCAGTATCTACAAAATAAAATGATATTTTGTTGAAATAATACTTTTAAAATGGTAAGGAAATACCTCTCGCAGTAGCGAAAAATGGAAAGTATAACCTGATGCCGCCCTTTAATAATGATAAGGTGCCCTCTGTAAACTATGCTCGCTAGCTGTTAAAGTAACCTGCAGTAATGTAATTTAAATTGGCCATTAGATGGCGACACGTTTGTACGACATGTCGATCTGTATTTCTAGCCGCCGTTATCTAATATAATAATAGAAAAAATAACAATAAAATATAATAGTATTTTAATGAATTTACACGTTTAAAATGTAGCGCAAATTTTTATTCGCACTAGTTTTTTAGTGAAAATACATGCCGATGCCTATCTTGAATAATATGATAAGGTGCGCTCAACTATAGCTAACACTAATGACATTTAATTTGCCAATACATTTCAATATGTGTTCTACATAACATAACTATGTAGCAGTATATCAGCCATATATATCATATATACACGTACGTGTTCATGGGATATATAAGTATCCATGCAGCAGCCTTTATTTAATAAATAAAATAGTATCATAGTAAAATATAATGTTTTTAAGTTAAATCACATGCCCATCAGCCATGTTAATATTGATACGGTGTCATATAAGGTACGGCATACCCATATAAGCTATGTATATAGCTTATATATGTATATATCTATGTTATGTCTATATATATTTATCTATGTCTATGTTATATATGTATATATCTATAAGCTAATGCTAGTTGAATATTTTCATAGACACCTGTTCATATGCGAGTGGTCGCTGGTTTGCGTATAATGTCTATAATTGTATCTAAGTAGTATGTAATTGTATCTATTGTATCAGGAGCTAATAATGAGGAGGTCATTATTATAGCTCCTGATTGTATGTAAGTAAGTATCTAAAAGCGACGAAAATCGTCTGGTGTGTGATAGAGCTATTACTCGTAAATAATAATAATAATATTAATAATAATAATAATAATAATAATCGCCAAACAAACCCCGTATGATAAATTTTTCTTTAAACCGTAAAACGCACGCATCAAGCAGTTGAATCCTCGCAACCGCTACAGGTAGGCCTATATGTAGGCCTAACTGCAGCTTGGGCGATGGGCCGCACTGGTAGAGCTACAACATCATGCAGGAACGTTTTGTCGCTATAAGTCGTCTCTGTTCGAACGAAAAAACAACAATCGCAGCTGTATTGCTTTTTTCCTCAAGCAAAATCTCCTACTTTCAAATAATGCATAGTATATATGACACCGTCACCCAAGGCCGTACGCAGGAAATTTTCTGTAGGGGGGCAAAGGTACTACCCATGCCCCCTGTGCCCTAAAGTTTCGCAATTTCACATTTCTTTATTTAAAGTGTAATATTTCTTTGATGATTTAAGATAACATTTTGTACAGTATTTGTCCCATTAAAAGTGCATACTCTGAAAATCTCTAGGGGGGCAACTGCCCCTGCTGCCCCTCTGCTGCGTACGGCCCTGCCGTCACCCGATGCGTAATTCAGATTCTATCTACCAGCACTAGATTTCGCGCGCGTGGGTAGCAGAGACGTCAGCAAATCGGCTGCGCACGGGAAGCCACGCGGAATGGTTGCGCAACGGATCTACTTTCGTATGCTTGGCACTTGGTGCTGTTGGCTGCTTGATACGGTTGCGTTCGGCATCAGTCGCCAATCAGAGGCAGTGTGCTGCGAGTCCGCGAGAAAGCCTGCACATGGTGCGCACGAGAACGCATTGATTTAATACACTTACGCGCCACATCGACCCCGAATATGGCGAGGAGCGGCTGCGGATGAAACCGAGAGCTTTCCCATTGTGAGCGCACCTTTCACGTGATGCTAACACGCGCTGACATGTGGTAGGATATGGTGATGAACTTAAAAAACAATACGAGAGGACGTATCCGATGTACGAGCGATGCTAGTGATATATAGGGACCGATAATGACATCCGAACGAGAGATGGCATCGGCAGATGCCGACGGCACACTGCCGGTCAAGACGGTCAAGTCGAGACGGGAGGTGACGTTGGGGATTCATTCGGCCGAGGAAAATCCTCTTATTGTAAGCTCTAGCGTTATTAAGACACGCGTTCCTTTAGCGCAACCGCCACTATAGAACTAGGACGACCAGCGGCGACGACTGCAGAATGTTGAACGCGTTATTAGTGGGCATTTGATTTGATTTCTATTTATTCTGGTAGTTATCAATGTATACATATAGATATACATTGTACGTAAATGTAATATGCAGCTAGGTAAATACCAGATAAATCTTAAAAAAACGCGTGGCAACCAAATTTATTTACAATGAAGTCCTTGAAAATTTACGCGGCAGTGTCATCGTAAACGAATTTTGGGGATAAAGTCAAAGTTAATTCTCGACAACCCGCGTGAATGCGTTGTTTTCGCACGTTGCCGTGGTTTCCGTGGCATCATCTCATTGTTTGTATGCTTCCAAACGTTCGCAAAATTGTAGCGTTGTCACGCTGTGTATTGTGCGGTGTACGCGGTGCGTTTGTATGCTACTGCTGTACTTCATACACACACACACACACGCACACTCTCTCTCCCACGTCCTGTCGCGCGAAGACATGTTTACTAATGTTCGAACGTTGGACCGACGCGGCTCCTTAATTGGCTTCCAATATTAATTCAATCATACAAGCTGTCAGTAGCATGTTCGACAC